AGCCACAGGTAACTAGTCACAGGTAGCTAGCCGCAGGTAGCTAGCACTCATGTCTCGCCTCTCTATGTGTGTCTGTAGTCGAAAGCAGGCAGCCAATCAGACCGCCGCTTCAGCAGCTTTCCTAGCCGCTCGGCTCTGCGATTCGGACAGGAAGTGGAGGGACGGGAGGAGCTCGGACCTCCCTCCCCCCTCCACAGGTCCCTCCCCCGCCTTAAGAAAGCCCCGCCACTGCTCAGCCCTCTTCCTCCTCTTCCTCAGCATCCTCCTCCTCCTCCTCCTCCTCCTCCTTCTTCTCCTCATCCTCCACACCATCCCATGCCGAGCCTTGCTGCTCCTCATGCCGCTCATCCTCAGGAAGCCCTGCTGCAGCATCAGGGCCTGCAGAGCTTCAGGAGGTGAGAACTGAAGTCGCGTCGCTGCTTCACTCTCACTGCACAGCTGGAGGCAGCCGGTTCTGCCCCGTTTGCCGCCTCACTTTCAGTTTCCCTGCGTTGCTTCTCCACCTCTCACAGCTAAAGTTGGATTTTAATCTTTCATTTTGTTCTCTGCTACTCGGAACGCCGTCCTCGGCTACAATCGGTGCAACACTGATCTTTTCATTTTCCATTAGATCAGGGTCAGCGCGCAAAAATAACGAACATATAATCCCCTTTTGATCCATTACGCTTTAACATTTCTCATTCTCCCAACACGACTCCATCACAGACTGAATCTTCTTTTAAATTCGCCGCAAATCCTCGCAGTCGGCTCATGAAAACGAACCCCGAGACTTTGCAAATCAGTCTCGATGGGACTTCAGATCCTGGCTAAAGCAAAGCGGGCGAGAAGAAGAAAAAAAGAAAAGAAAAAGAAAAGATTTGAAAGCACTGCGGCAAATTGCAAATGCGAAACTTGAAAGAAAGAAACCGTTTCAGCCTTTGTTCTGTCGGCAGAAGGCAACAGGAGAGGAGATGAAGGAGCTGCAGCCGCTGATTAGAAATCACTGGGAGGTCGACGGCTGGAGGGCGACGCTGCAGCTGAACCAGGAGTTCGTCTGGAAGGCTTCTGTCGCGTCCAGCGTTTTGTTTTTTACTGTTTATTGTCGCTTTTAGAGCCGTTTAAAATGAGAGAGGAAGTTCGCTGTTTCCTCTAAATGCTGTCTTAAGATTAAATCATGACAATAGTTTTGTTTTTCGTTCATCCTCAAGTTTCTCTGTGGTTTCGTTTTGCTTTTGTCTCGTTTTTACTCACTGTAGGTTCATTTTTCATTCTTATATAAAGTCCTGCAGCTTCATGGAAATAGAGCAACCAGGAAGAAGCAGAGAGAGCTTAAAAATTAGTCTTTTGTCGTGTTTGACAAAGTTATAACGCCATAAATGATAACAACTAGATATTAAAAAGATAAAACTGACTCTACATACTCATGTACATATTTTTTACTCAAGCTGCAGTTCAACCAAGAAGTCCCACCACTGATCACAGTCACTCTTGGCTTCACGGTTGTCCTGAGGAACACAGGATTTGTTTTGTTTTTTAAAAGAATCTGATGATAACAGACGCTTTGTTTTTTATTTTTTTGGTTAATTTTCAATCACACATGTTGAAAGAACTATAAAACTATAACGCCTTAAATCTAAATCTAGAAAATTGTCGTACAAAAAAAGAACAAACCCGGAATCAACATGTGCGACATTTTTCCAATGTTCCAATTTACCAATATTAGAAAAAAAAAATTCTTCTTACGGCACAAAATCATGAATTACTTCCATCCTCGTCTCCTCTCTGCTCTACCTCCAGTTTGGCCGAAAAGTCGCTGAATTTTTCCCGCCTTACCGTCGGTCGCAGCCGAGTCGTTTCCAGCTTCCCAGTTGTGCCGAAGAGCTCAGAATTTTCTGTTTTTTACAGAATCTATTTAGAGCAACCGGTTTATTTTTGGCATATTTTTTTAAACAAGACACGCAGAAAAATCTGATTTTTAAACGCGACAGACGTGCACGTCACACATGAGTAGTTCGAGGACAGTCGGAAAGTTGAAAATCTGAGTTCAAACGGTTCAAATTCAGCATCGTTCTTGTGCAACACTGACTTGCGATAGAAAGTTAAAAACACCTCAGACTCTCCGCGACCAGACTCGTCTGGGACCCACCGAACGCGACGACCGAGGAGGAGCTCCACGTAGCAGTCGGCTAACACCCGCTGCATGCTGCCTGTGACGTTAAAACACGCTCACGGATCGGTAGGAATTTCTTTGCTCGACGTTGAAACGTACGTCTGGTTTCAGCTCACTGCATCCAACGTTTACTTGTCCACAGTTGTTTGGTTCTTTCACATGAGATGGTTTCTGTGTGTTCGACTGCTGTCCTGGTTTTGTGGTTAAACTTCTGCTGCATCCTCACTGAAACGTCTTCATTTTAAAACGTCCGCACCTCTCAGGACGCTTATGCTCCTCCGCCAGCAGGGGGCGACTCCTCTGGTCAGGAGTCAGGCTGCACTACAGTCTACAAGAAGAAGGTTTTAGTTCTCGGTTGTTACCTCGAGTTTACAGTTTATGGTCTCAGCCACGAGACTTTTTAGAAGCAGCGTGATTTTAACTTTCTGAATTCCATTTACAGCGAAACAGAGAAAGATCAGCGATAAACAAACCAACATGGCTGCTTCCACCGCTAAGGAAACGCGAGCTGTTTCTTTACGTGAGTTATTTCTAAAACACGCGTCCACCTGCGAATTGTTTTAAATCTCTGAAGCCCGAGCAGCAGTTTCTGGGTGTTCCCAGAGAAAAACAAATCGTCCAGTTTTAATCTGCTCCGGGGAAGCAGTTCAGCCGAGTTCCTCCCGTTGGTGTCACATGATCACAGGTGAGCCTCTCGTGTCTTCAAGTCGCTCAGTTAGTTTTTATTTTTGGTGCATTTTTAGCTACGACGGGTAGAAAAAAGTGTTTCTGATGAAACCCGTCGCAGATGAGGAGTTCAAGGACTGTTGGAAAGTTGAAATCGCTGCTGGATGTTCAGGTTTTGGGGGTTCAGAGAGTTTGAAAATGAAAACGTATCATCGGTGTGGATGCAGCAGGCGTCGTATCACCAGCTGATTTATGTACGCGCCGGGACAGCGCGGTTTGGTTGAGTTACGGCTCTGATGCTGTTTGTTTCTCAGGCTGCTGTGTTTGTGGTTCAACTTGTCGTCTCCTTCATGTGCATGTTTGTTCCTGAACAAGCGATTTAAGTCCCTGCTGGTTCTGGGCGTCACATCCGACTCCCCCGACGTCACGAACGCACCACCGTCACTGTCGTCCTCCCAGCTACGAGTCTGTGTGATGACAAACACCCCAAAGTTGTTTTTCTGTCTCGCTGCTCGTCTCTTCTGACGCTTGTCGTGTTTTCTCTCTTCCCCCCGCAGCCTTCCTGAAGCCGACGCCGCGCCGCCGGCGGACCCTCGTGGGACGGAGGCGGGAAAAAGCAAAGAGTACGCGACAAAAGAAGAGGAGCTGTTCTCCCAGTACTTCTCTTTCTGACCGGCAAAAAACATAAAAACAACAACAACAAAAAAAAAAAAAAACGACAACAAAACATCCCAATTCTGTCAAAACATCCAGTAATGGGACAGAGAGCTAAAGTTGGACCGCGATCGAACTGCAGCTTTTGAGAGAAATCAAACGTCCACTCGTGTCAGTCTTCAACCTTTCGGGCTTCCAAACCGCCAGAGCGTTTGCAAACACGCCGATCCGTCTTTTCGTTCGTTCATCCTGCAGAATGTGACATTTGTACGAGCTTGAATGAAAATAAAGAGGAAAACTGAAGGCGCGTCAGTGCTGCTGCGCTTTAGTTCAGGCGACGAGGCGGCACGTCGAGGGATGACTCGCTTTTATTTTACAGGTTAAAATGGAAAATAGTGTCGCTCAGATCATCCCTCTGTTACGACGAGTCGGCTAAAATATGACAAGAACCTTCCAGCACGAAGCGAATTTAGAAAATCCAACGTCTTCTTCTCAGCGAGACGGTTCCTGGTGACCGTCGCACGAATGCAGCTGCAGGCGAAGCTGCTATTCCAGCAAATAAAGGCTCGTCCAGCAGCGACGATGTTCTCCTGGTTGGGTTTTTACCAGACGCTCGTCAGTAGCCACAGCGGTGAAGATTCTCGACTCCAGCGTTAACGGCAGAGTTCTGCTCAGAAGGAGCTCGTGAACACGCCCGAGTTCATCCAGAACGTCGTAAACATGTGACTGGTTTCTGTTAAAAACAGTCTTTCAGTTAAGTCCCGTTTTAACCCTCTGAGCTCCAACGGGGACGTTTCTCGATGCACTATGAGGTCGATGGAAACAACGTGAATAGACGGAGACGGAGCGACGCCGTCAGTACGCCAACAACAGGAAGTCGGATTTCTTTGATTGTTTATTTCGCAAAAAGCTGGAATGTCGACGTTGTTCTAAGTGTCCACGGGTGACAAAACAAATGGTGGCTTCACATACGAGAGATATTTTAATATTTTATGGTTTTGATTTGTTCGAACGCTCGTCTCCTCTCTGCTCTGTGGAAACAGTTCAGCCGAGAAGTCCCTGAACTTTTGTCACAAAAGCTGAGTCACAAACGGCTTCACGGTCGCACCGCGAGATTTTAGTTTTTTGTACAGACTCCTGTCACGTAGAAAGGGACTCTGATAAAATATTTTTAAGCTCAGACTCGGCTAATTGTCTTGACGGAGCGACACATCGCAGATTATTACCTCCTAGACTGTTACAAAGTTCAAAATCCGACCATTTTTTCAGTTTTTTCCGTTTCTAGCTCCGGTAACTGGTGTCGTTTTGGCATTTTTTAAAAAGATAATTCGCCTTTTAAACCCGCCGGCGGGTTTTGGGGATCAGAGGGTTAAATAATAATGATGCACTCTGGTGAGAAAAATGTTGTCATGACGGGTATAAAAACTACACCGAAGTCGTCATAAATAATCCCCAGATAGACGCCTCCAAGCCTCCAAGCTCATGCAAATGTCCGCAGACTGCAGCGATGTGTCGTCAGAAACCCCTCGTCTGTCGTCCTCTCTGTTCATCAACATGTGTCTTACGAGCTGTGACGTGGCTGGAAGGGCTTCCCCAGTTCGGCCAGGACGGAGCGATTATTGCCTTGATACTCGCCTTTCATATCGTTGGTCCATCCGTCGTGTGAATCTGTGTTTGTCAAGCGGACGGACCTCTCCGGTTGTGTTTGTGTTTTTTATTTTTGGCATCTGCAGTGCGAGAAACTCCAGATAACGACACCAGCAAAAACTTTAGCTTGCTGTCCCAGTGCTCCCACTGTACAGTGTATGTTTGAAAGTCATTTTGGGATCCCCTGCGCTCGCCGAGGGGCGCTTGATTTATGCATCGAGACGCCTCAGGAGGGGAAACATCCAGACGAACTGAATCAAGCACCCCTCATGTTTTTATTATTCTAGTATTTATAACGTAAGAAGCTACTGTTTTTCTACGGTCTGTTTGTGATGCCAGTGGAGCCGAGACGCAGCCGAAGAGTTCCGTCACTGACGCGCCGATCCACTCCCGGCCGCTTTTTTTTTTTTTTTGTTCTTTTTAAAGCCAAGGAGCGTTTAAGTCAAGCAATTTCAACCCGAGCAGGGAGTTGGTGTCAGTGGCTGGACCCTTCGACTCCGGTCTCCGCCTGCAGACCATAGAGCATGTGAAAACAGAAACACTATCATGATGCTGCTGTCGCTCACTTGAAACCCTCATATCTCCAGTTTTTCGGTGTACTGTCTGTTTTTTTTACTTGACTTGAAAAGTTTACATCGTTCTCGTGCTGAAGTCCATTCAGTAACCTGTACAGTTTCCAAGCTGCATGGTCGTCGTCAGCCCCAAGAGGCTCCGTTTGTTGCTTCGCGGAGGGAGGATGGAGCGACGCGAGGTCCAAGAGTTTACACGTTTCAGTTCAGCACCATCGACGCTCGTCTTCCGTAACAGAACCTGTCGCGGCTTCGGCGGTCCAGGAAGTGTTTCGCTGTTTGCATTCAGACACGATGTCACGCCTCACCGACGCCGTCGCAGCGAATACTGGACACTGTTGCTGAGCTGTTGCACTGAATTTAGTTTGTTTTCTGCAAAACGCACCTTCTAAGAGGTTTACAGTTTGCAGCAGACGAGAGAACGCCTCTGTGTCCTATCAGCCAAATGATTCAGCGTCGAATCGCCTCGCAGCAGCTCGCATACGTCTCATGTGAGATCAAACACTAAGGTTAGATTTACGAGATTGAAAAAAGGCTCCACAGTAGGAACTCACATCTTTTATTCTTTCAGCGTTTCGTATGATGTTGATGATGTCGATGTCCATCAGCTGCTGTAGCTTTTGGTTGCGCCACCGTTCTCTTTAAAATACACAAAGGTGTTTTATTGGATGCGTCTCATCAGCCAGTGTTTTGGTTTATCCTCAGACATTCATCTATAAATGTCAGCAACACCTTTTCCACTCATGCAGCCCCACATCATGATGCTGATGACAATCGTCCTCAGCATGGAGGAGACCAGAGTCCACTAAGTTCATGGAGCATCTAGAATTGTCATCAACGTGGGACGCCCCGGCGGCTCCACGATGAGACGGCGTCCCATGAACAGGAGCTCCAGACACAGCGGTCTGGAGTTTGAATCCTGCTCATGGCCTTTTGCTGCAGGTCTCTCCCCGTTCTTCTCCCCCATCTCCACTGCTCTACTGGAAATAATAAAGACAAATTTACATTTATTTATTAAAAAAAAGAAAAAGAAAGAAAGAAATGTCATCAACGCCTTCTGCCCTCATGCAGCTCCACATCATGATGCTGCCACCTCCGTGCTTCACTGTTAGAACGATGCATCCTCTGTGGTGGTTCTGGTCAGGTTCACACCAACCATGCTGGACTCCATCTGAGCCCAGCACATTTATCTTCATCTGACCAAAGAAGGAGCTCCATACAATCACTTGGTTTCATGTTCTTTGGCAAAGATTCATCTTGCACAAATTTTTCCGTGCTCCGTCATTTCAGTCATTTCAGTCATTTCAGGAGGACATCCTGGTCACTGCTCACTCTGGACTTCTTCAGGATTGTTTTCGTTGTTCACAAATCTTTCTTTATCCTTTCCCATCCTCTGCTCACGATGCAGATTGGAAACCACAGGCGGGCTCGGTTTTTGTTGAGTTTCTACTGTGGGGCCTGAACTTTCAGTGACGTTTTTCTGGATTGTTTTTGATTGTTCACAGGAGGAAGTGCTTCAGCTTGTCGATGATGCAGCTGCTGAGAGGTTGTCTGACACGTCTGCTGTGTGCTGTAGACGTTAGGGTTAATTCATGGATTGTTTCTATGTTCACCTCTGTGTTCTTCCATTCTGTTGGACTTTGTGCCTGAAGAAAGTGTCCGAGCGAGAGCGTTTATGTAGTTACAGATCTCACCGCGGGGATACCAGTCGTCTCCTTTGACAGTCGAGCGTGTTTCATTACGGTAACGAAACACTTCCTGACACCAGGTTGAGACCTCCGGCAGACCAGCCTGTGAAAGCATCGTGAAGCTGAGGTGACGCTGAACATCATCGTTTAGTGTATTCATGGAGGTTTAAATGTAAATATTGACTTGCAATGTGACAAACCCCGTCAGAGAAACGGTAAATTAAACCCGTCTGGAACCGCGGCTGGTTCACTCCTTCATGCACACTGTGAAGATTATTCAAGCGACTATGCTCATTATTGACATTTTAGCTTCGACGTCTGCATCCGGCAATGCAGAAGCCTTTTGCTCGCTCTCAGTTCTTTTCCTAATAATACGTTTTCTCACAATCACGTCCGATTTTACTGCCTTTCCTTTTTTTGTGTGTTTTGCTGCTGAAGAGTTCAAACGGTTTCCCTGTACCCGACGTTCGGCAACACACGGCAACACAGGAGGGGTGTTGTTGTCCCGGAAACAAGAAGCACATCCCGACAGGCTGCCTCGTCTTGCAGCAGCACAGTAAAGGATCATTCCAGTGTTTTTTTCCAAACTGATGGAGTCGTTAATGTATTTTTACATTCAGTTT